TGTCAGATCTCCTGTCCTTTCTGCATTTAAGGTGAGATTATTCCATAAAACCTCATTTCTTGGTGCACTCCTTGTAAGAAGGATTAATGCAGCTGCCTGTAGCAAAGGGACAAGGAGTGCAGCCACTCTTCTGAAAGCCAGAACCTGCAGCTTATGTCAGTATGGTATTTGGGCACCACCACAGTTTTGAAGCTGGAAACCTTTGAAATCCTTCCAGCCTTGGTCACTGAAAAGCCAAACTCTCAAACTTTCAAATCTTGCTCTTTTTCTTTATAATGGGGGTGGGAAGGTATTCAGAAGAAATACAGTTTCAGCAATAAACTGTAAGCTATTTTTTACTTTCTTTTTAGAGGAAAAAAGACAAAACACCCCAAGACCCCAGCCTTTCAAAGCTATAATCTGAACATACCCAGCCAGAAATGCCAGCAAATCTGTTTCCTTAAGGGTATTATTTAGTCACCAATTAACATTTTAAAGACCAAGTCTCCAAGAAAAGAAAAGCAGTTTAATATAAATATGTTGGGTGACTTGAAATGACAAATACTTTTAAATATGCATTTAAAAATATAATTAGTGTTTTTGTGTTCTCAGGTTTGTAGTTTTTGGGACAAGCACTTTCAGACTTCAGAAAATCAATTATTTTTCCTCCTCTCCCTCTCCTCCCACCTAATTTGAACATTATTCTCTTTCCCCAGTGTGGTTCTTGTTCTGCTGTCTGCCAGGCATGCCTCCTCCTCCAAACACAGACAAAACCTGCAATGTATTTAAAAATAAATGCTTGTTGTGCCCTGGCACCCATGCACATCCTGCTCTTGGGTTCCTCTGGAGAGCAAGAAATGCTTGACTTTCTTTAAAGCATAGTCAAGAAAATGCCTTTAAAAAGTGCCTGTCTCTGAACTCCTTCCCAGGTGCTTATTTTCCTGACAATGTGCACTCTAAGGTGCCCAGGCAGGGAGGGTCCTGCAGGGAGATAAACAAGTTTAAAGCACAGCATGTCAGGGCTTGTCTGTGCTGTGCATATGCCACTAAGCACAGTCACTGGGAGGTCCTGAGAATGGCCAAGGGCAGTTGGGAAGGAAGGTGTTAATTGCTGCCCAGGTCCATGTTGTGTTACTTTCACCAGAGGTAATGGTGTGTACACCTGGAAAACTTGTGTTTAACACTGCTGCTGCTGGAGCTTCTTCATGCTGTCACAGTGAGAAAATTCACCCTGGTACCCCTGGAGGGAATGTGAAACACCCACCTTGCTTTATTACAGCCTCTGGTACAGCAGAACCATGCTTTGAAATGGTGAGAAGCTTCTTGGGTGTCTGCATCTCCCTCTCCCTTCCCCCAACTGCTCTGTGGTGAGTTTGCCATCCTCTTCCTTGCTGCATCAATTTCTAGCACAGGGGTGGTATGGAGTGAGGCTACAACTAAATTCCTCTGTCTGATTGAGAGGGCATCCTGCACAATTGCATGATACTGACCTATATCTTTAATTCTCCACAAAATCATTAAAAAGAAAGCTATAATTATTCTGCTTCAGGTTAAATTTTAAATGCAGGGAGGGATTTAGGGTTGTAGACAGTCAGCAGTTTCATTTAAAATCTTTTATTAAATAGTATTTTGATATCTGCTCTTGCTCTCATGCCAAAACATGTATTTTGGGGCATAATGGTATAAATTACTGAGAGAAAGAAGAAAGAGGTAAGACTCTGTCATGAGGCAGAATACCTCTGCATCCTCAACAACTCAAGTAGAGGCCAAGGCCTGACTGGCACTCCAATTCTGAGCAAACTCCACAAATTTCCAGTGGCAGAGAGGATGGGCATGAGCCATTCCAAATCATGTGCTGCTGCTGGGTTTTCATCCTTGCTTGCTTTTGGAGTTTTAAACCTTTTAAATGGAAAGAGCACTGAGGGTTATGGGTGTGTAGGATCCTGGGAAGAAATAATCCCCCTGCCCAGGAGCTCTGCTGAGGCCTGAGCTGCAGGAGGCAGCTTTGGCCAATTTATGGAGAGAGGAAAATGAATGGGAATAGTCTCTGACTTGCCAAGGCTTTGCCACAGGAATCCTTCACAGGTCTGGAGCTCCTTGGCAGAGCAGAGAGCACCTTCACTGCATGCAGATATCGCAGCAGATGGCTGAGTCTGTGCAGCCAGGGCATCTCTCAGAATCACTGCTGTGACAGGACTTCAGACTGATGCTTTTTGTGCTCCCTGTTTTGGCATGGTGGGTCCTGTCTGTGTGACAGAAGAGGATTGTCTCGGGAAAGAGCAAGATAATGGGGAATGGGAAAGAGCGAGATAATGGGGAATGGAAAAGCATCTTTCTTTGAATACAGCAGAACAGCTGCCTGGAAAGAGAAGAGATTCTGCTGCAATCAGCATGGTCAGGCCTGTGGACCACTAACTGTCGAGTACAGGACTACTTGTCTTCTGGTTACATTTTGATTTTAGTATTTCAGAGCCTGTCCCCTGCCTCACTGCCCGGCCCTGCTCTGGGCAGCATGGGCTGGCCTGGATAGCTCCCTTGGGAAAAGAATGAACCTTTCCTCTAAACAGGGAGAAGGCAGTGTGGTGCAATGCTGATCACAGTTTGGAGAGGTATTAGTCTCTGTTTGCCTATTTTTCTTAGCAACCACCACTTGCAACTCATTCACCACTTCAAAGAGAGAGCAGAGACAGGCATGAAGCCCTTGGGAGCACCTTTCCTTTTTGCTGTGTGCAAGTTGCTAATTGCTATTATATGTCTAGGCATTTGGATTGTACATAATCAGAAATCAGAGCCATGCAAAATCAGGTTAATAAATATATCATAAGTAGCAAAATACATCCAGTATTTGGGTATGTATTCCTTTTTTGCACAGGTATTTCAACAGCAGTTTATCCTCATCAGTTATTCAGCATAACTGTAGTAGCAGAGGATGAAGAGGTTATTAATGATGGGTAAATGACTGTCCAAGCTGGTGAATCCCATGTTATTAAAGTTTATCTGTTGAATATTCCTTCACAGGGGTCAGAGAGAGAACTGGCCCTTCTGATCCAGGTTACCAACAATCTTGTGCCTAAGCAGAGTCAGCTCTACTTAAAATCTAACTTCTTCCATATGTCACTTCCAGACCATCAGAAGAGAAGTGCTTACAGATGCCTGAGCTGAAGAGAACAGCAAGGAAAGGGCATTAGATGCATCCTTCTCATCAGGAAATTGTCACTCTGCCAAACCCCCAGAAGACTGGAGTTTCCAAACCCAGTTTCTCTCGCCCTCTAAATCAGCTCAGTGTGCCGTGCAGAAAAGCAGAGGGCAGTGTCCTTGACAGAGCCAGTACAGCTCACTCATTTTTAATTGAAAATAACGAACCAAATGTTCTGCATAGGAGAGGAAACCCAAAACGCTGCTGCTGCTGCAGGGCCAGACCTGCTGCTGGTGGAATGGGAGCCCATGTTGCTTTGGGCACTGTTCTCCCCTGGAGCTCCTTGCTGTCTCCCTCCCTCCCTGCACATTGTCCTTGGGCTGCAGTAGGGCTGGGCATTTGTGTTCCAAACCTTTCTCAAACCCATCCTACACTTCTTTACTGCTGACCCTAATCCCAGCCCCAGGTGACTCAGCCCTTCTGTGGGGCTGCTCCCTCTGCCCCTTCCCTCTCCCTGCCTGACCTCCCACACATTCAGACATGCTTCACTGGTGCCTTTGGTTCATGTGCTTCTCTGGAGTCAGAAGAAGAGTAAGCAGAAAACAGCTGCTGTAAGAAGTTACCTGACTTGTCCTCTTCTGTGTGGCTTGGCTGTGTCCCAGCTCACCGGAGCAGGCTCAGCAGTGCCCAAGCCTCCCAGGCTCTGGCTTCTGCTTAGAGAGAGGTTTGCCTGTGGTAACGTGCTCAATGGCTCTCAGTCTAAGTCCTGAAAAATGCAAAACACCCTGGAAAAACTGCAGGCCTTGGGTACTTAACTCTTTCGTGATCATGGAACAAGCAGCTAATAACTGTGAAAACTTCAGTGTTTCCTTTTTTATTGCTGGCTTAAGAGAGAAGTCAGACTTCTCAGCCTCATTCAGAAAATCTGTGTAGATGACTTTTCTTGGCTGCATAAGATATTGTCATTTACTTCCTCTTTTTGCTCTATTTCAGGTTAAATATCCTGGAATGTATAGATTTACAGTTTGCTACATTAGAGAGTTACCAGTTTTCATGTCCTATCAAGGATTAATCTGTGAAGACACTGTCTCATGGACATACTTTCAGGGAGAGTTGCTGCATTAACCTGCAGAATCACGTGTTGTGTGCAAGCAGCATTTGCAGTGAGATTTATCTCAGGTGACAGTATTCCCTGCCTGCAATATGAAAGACATCCACAGGCTTGTGTCACCAAGTAAAGGTGACAGAAAAGCTAAAAAGCATCCTAATCTCTCTATTGCCATGAGAGCTGGGGGATGGCTGGGGGAATGGGCTGTGCAAGCTTGAGGCAGCATTTCTCCACTGTGCATCCCTGGGCAGAGGTAGTGAGGGTACCTGGAGCATGGGGGTTGTGTCAGAACTACAAATCTGGTGAGGATTCTCAAGTCCAGTCAGCAATGTGAATTCTGGTACACCATTTTTATGCCCCAAAAGATATAATAACATGTTAGAAAAGCCCATTAGAAGTTCCAGCCTATGTACAGGGTGTGCATTCCATGAGCACCTTGGCTGTAGTCTGTGTGAAAAGGCACAAGCGCCTTTGTGAACTTCAGCTGATCTTTGGTCCTTCCTCTAGCAATCAAGTATATTGCTTATTTTTTTTTACACTACCCACATCACTGATGGGCACTTCAGAAATACAACTAAATCCATTCTGGCAGTCTTCATCTCTAATTTTACAGGGTGGTTTTCTGTGTCAGATGACTACACTTTATTCCTACTGTTTTAACAGCAGCACCCAGCATGATTCAGGTTTATGCTCCTATCAATCATACATGCTGTGCATTCACAATAACCAACTGTGCTGTCTGCAGGGCTGTACAGTGCTCCTGAAGCAGCAGGTGAGGGGGCTTTAATCCAAGATTCCCATTATGAAGATGGTGCAATCAATCCATCTGACTTCTTAATACCTCTGTGTGGGTTTTTTTCCCCCCCTGTGACTAGGAGTGACTCACTGCAGCTTCCCTGAATCGCTCTGGAGAAGCAGCTTGCTTATCTGTGATACTTGTCCTGCTTCTGTTCCCCTCAGAGGGTGAGTGATGGGCCAGTACCTGCCTAGCTTGTCTTAAGTCTGGTTGTAGGGACAGGCAGTGGTGTGGAGCTGCTGTGCCCTCCCAGGAGATTGGCCTGGGCCAGCCTTGGCACTGAGGAGCTGTTGGAAGAGATGCTGCAGTTGTGGTTGTTCTCTTGGTGCTCAGAGAGCCAAAAGTTTTACTGGGATTTTTTTTTTTTTACTGTGTTCTCCTTTGCTCCTGTGAATGCTCTCCTTTGGTAAGCAGGAATGTTCAGAAAAAACATCTGGAGCTGCTGGGTGAGAAGAAAACCATATCAGCAGTTGATCTGAATAGGGATAACAGTTCTTGATGGGAGATCAAGGCTATGGTACGTCATGTCTAATAGTTGTTTATCTTCTATAGTTTTTTCAGAATGTTTCCTCACTATTTTTTTAATGGAAAATCTGGGGGTGGTTCTTTCCTTTCTGCTTGTAATCTCTCAGTTTAGTTAAGCCCACAAAAATGCTGAGAGAAATTGCTTAATTCTACAGAAGTCTGTCATCATCTCTCAGCTTGATATAAATTTTTGTTTGATTTTTGAGGAAACTGTTGTTTAAAGTGTTTTTTAGGCCATGACAGAAGATTATATCTGTATGTGTTACGGAAAGTTATTAAATAAGTACAACTAACATATTGCAAAACTGATGTTCTGCATGTTCAGCTTTTAGGCACAGGTCAAGGAAATGTCCCAGAGAGTCTGGCTGAGCAGGCTCCCTGTGCTGTGCTTGGGCTAGCACAGGTTTCATCACACATCACTCCTAGGAGTCCATGTCTGTGAGGCTCTTGCTTTCTGCTATTATGCCTTTATAAATGAAAACTCCTGCTCTCAGTGCAAAGATTAGCTTCCAGGCTTTATGACATTGGTGCAATACACTCCAAAGGAGATATTTACTATGTTATCCCTTGTTACTTCTCCTAAAATTACCTTTTTTCAAAGTGCATATTTTGTTCTGAGTGATTGCAGGTTTGGCAATTACCTGTCTATGCACTTGGCAGGACAGTATCTGTAGCAAAACACACAGGTTTATAGATGTGTAAAGGCCCTGGCTTCCCAGAAGAGTTGTTGGTAAGAATACTTTTTTTGGCCAAAATGCCCATGATTCAGCATTCATCACTGATCTCTGGAAGTAATCATCATACCTGTCAAATAGTCAAGGTTTGTCCAACTCACAAGTAAAAGTTCTTCCCCAAAGTTTATTTCTGTTCAGATTTTTTCCTAAACTGTTGTTGTGTACAGAGCCTTTTAATTAGATTTTTCTTACAAGTCTGTTAATTTATTAAAAGCACAGTCTGTACTAACTGAATAAGCACCATATCCCTTTGCTTTAGCCTTCCATTGTTCCAAAAGATTTGCTTTTAACTGTGGCAGGTATTTGAGTTCAAGTCATCACCTAATCTAGAAATATGAGGTGATCTTGTCCATAGCACTTACATCCTTATGTCTGCACTTCAGACTTACAGCTGACACTGAACTGAGCTTGCTATGGAGTTCTCTATCTATCAGCCTGAAAACATCTTGTTTCTTGTGACCAAACTAAGAACCAAAACTCAGGGTTTTTTTTTTTTTTGTTTTCTCGTTAGGTGTGTCTGGGGTTTTTTTTTGTTTTGTTTTTTGGTTGGTTGGGTTTTTTTTTCTGTTTACACGTTTTCATACAAATTCTGAGAAAATTGTGTACCTTTCATGTTCTGAATGTGGCCATGGACCTTTCTTGGTATAGCAAAATACGCCTGTGCTTGTGTAACAGGTTTCCTGTGCTTTTTCCCAGTTGAGGCTCTGCTGACAGTAAGGCAGTGTGGTGTGGTGTACCAGGCTGGAAAGACACCTCCTGACTGGAAAGCCTGTGTCTCCTGGTGGCAGAGGCTGTACAGAACATTGAGCTGGCTGGGAGGTTGCCCTCACTATCCCTCGCTCTTTCCTGAGACAAATAGATGTTTTGGTAAAACATAGTTTTTTTGGGTTTTTTTAAGTAAGAAAAGTCCAGCAGTTGATTTAGAGGAGTGGGGGAATTCAATTCTCTATCAAGGAAATCAGGAGGAGACATTTCCTGTGGGAAAGGTTGATGGAATGCTGATACTTTGCTTTTCCAGCTGTGGCTCTGGGCCAGCGCTGTGGCTCAAGCCCAGTAGCTGAGCAGTGTCCTGTGAGTGATTCCCTGCCACCGGGCACGTGCTCTGCCCTGAACCCATTCTACAGCTGCTCATCTCAGCAGGTACATGTGGCTGATTCCCCACAAGGAAAGTTTAAACCAAGAATGTTCTGAGGCCCCACGCTTCAAGGGAGGTTGCAAAACCATGACCTTTTATGTTCTGATTTGGGACAAAGCCAAATGGAGTTTTCACAAATGGGAAAATCCAGGGATTCTTGAGCCATCACCGGTGTCCCACCTTAAGGTTTTGTAAGTCAGGCTTAATTACACAGATACACAGTGGCCCTAGAGACAGCCAAAATATTTTCCAAGGGTTGCAACAGAAATGGTCAGGGCAGATTGTTCTCCTTCTGTCATCAGCTCTGCCTCAAAGGAAGCATTGTGATTTTAAATGAAGGGAAAACACATGGGTTTGGAAGACAGAAGAACAGGTCAGTGTGTTGGCTAAGGACAGCAGCCCAGCTCTGATTTCTCCTCTGCAGAGTGTTCCCCCTTGCAGAGCATTACAGTGGTAAGCTGTATTTAACCACCACCTCTACCCCCATGAATGTGGCCTGGGACTCTCAGCTGGCTCAGTCCTGTTCTGCACTGTGGGGCTGCTTGGCTGGGCAGTAGGGGATGGGGCAAGTGAGCAGCAAGTGCTAAACCTTAGGTTGGAAGAGTGTAGGAACTAGAACATCGCTGACTTGCTTGGAAAGGTGTGGGATCAAGCAATGGCATCCCACCTTGTTCTCTGTGTGACAGGGCTGCTGCTGGGCTCTAGGTAAATACTGAGCTTTTCTGCCCACTGCTAAAAGCAGGAAATGACTCTTCATTGTTTCCCTGTAGCTCTTCTGGGCTGCTGTTGTGTTGGCTGTGAGTGTTGTGAGGTTCCACTGGGGGCTTTGCAGCACTGATGGATTCCAAAACAACCTCAAAGGTGTTTGCTGCAGCTCGGAGGAGCTGGGTTACAGGGTACATTTGGATTATTTTCCCTTAGTAGTAATCCTACACCTGGGTCATAAAAGATAACAAACTTGATCCACTGGGTGAAAAGAAGACCCCAGCATTCATCACCCACTCATATTCCACTTGGAGGTACGAATAAAAATGAAGTTTTGCACAAATTAAGTAAGTACCCTTATGGAGGGTTAATATCAAGTTGAAGCCCTACTGATTTCTCTTAAAAATTCCTTAGGAAGAACAGCTGCAGACAGCTCTTAAAACTAACTTCACTTGCAGCATCTTATAAAATCATGGGATAGATGAGGAACATGTCCCTTTTGCCTGTATCATTCTGCCCAACTTAAGCTCCTTTCTCTTGCAAAGTCTGTCTTTTGCAGTATGTCTCAGCTTTATCTAAGGGCTCCTCCCCAAATCTACATTGTTTCCACACTAGTTATGTGTGAAGAAAATCTTATTCAACACATCCTGAAAAATGAGAATAAGAAAAGAATCATCTGAATGATTTCTGACCATTTGGGTTCTGGTTTTGGTTTGGGTTTCTTGAATTGAGTTAAAGTAGTCCCAGCTTGTGCAAACTCTTGTGAAAAAAAAAAATGCAGACAGCATTAAATTTCACAGTCAGCAAATATCCACTAGAAGACATATGGTGGTGATGGTAAAATCCTGGCAGAAGCCAACACCAGTTTGCTACTGGTGTTTGTTCAGGGGGTGCTGCTCCCTGACCTGTGCGCTGACTCCCCTGTGTCTTCCCAGTGGTGTGTGTCTCATGCCAGGTGTAAAGCCAGGAAACTGTGGGGCAAAAGCTGAGGCAAATGGTTCTTCTGGGGGCTCTGGTGTCAGGAGCTGTGAAGCTGAGAACAAAACACAAGATGAATCCACTGAATCATCTGCCCTGGGAACTGCCTGTACACTCACTGGCTTCTGGAAATTGTTACAGCTGTTAATTTCCCAGGACAATCCCTCGGAGCAGTTCCTGTGCCATGACAGGACGAATTTGCTGTTAGTTTAGCAGGAGATTAATTGCCTGTGTTTCTAATCAGCAGGACCAGAGGTGTGACCAGGATGGCCAACCATGGGCACCAGGGTCTGGGGGCACGGGCAGCACAGCAGGGATGGAGGTCATCCCAGTGGACACGGCTCCTTGTGGCACCTTCCTGGCAAGCTGCATTTACCTGGTATTGGGAATGGAGTGATTCTAGCCCACACCTCACTCCTGACACCAGATAAAGAACTGAAACTTCTGGCATTGGTTTTTGGTGGGCTCCAGCTGCAGCTCTGAGGGTGAGTTTTTGTCTTCAGGGCCTGAGCAATGGACTTCATCCTGGGCTCACCCAGAGCTGTGCTGCTGGTAAGAGAACATGGATAAACTCCAAGGCTTTGTGCACCAAGGAGGTCATTAGCAGGAAGGAAATGAAGGGAAAATTAAGAATCATGTTTTCAGAACAGATGAAAAATCCCTTTGTGATCCCAGACCCACGGCTGGCAGTACCCTTACACTAAATAGGAGGAAGAACAAATAATTTCCTCAGGTCTCTTTTTGTGCCTTTTAAATAATTAATATCTCTTTAGCTTAAGTTTGAGCACTGGAAAACCCTGAGTTGCATTCAGGCCAAAGAAAACATATTTTTGCTATTAAAAGCACACTCTCATTTTATCTTGTCAGCCTATGAATTTCTTGCAGACCACGCTAACATTTGCAAAAGGGAGTTTCTCTCTTCTCTCTTTCCCATGCATGCAGCTATTTACTTGGTCAGAGATAAGGGAAAATTTTTGGACAACACCTGACCTCTCTGCAGAGAAATGTCCCATTGTGGGTATGGAGTGTAAAAAACCTCTTTTGGCTTGTTGCAGCTTGTGACACCCTCGGGAACAGCAATACCCCTGAGACAGCCCCAAGGGACCACCTGGGGGGCTGCAGACTCTTCCACCAGACCAACCAGGGGTCTTTTGTGCCTGGTGCTGGGCATCCCCAGCAAAGTGTTGGGGCTGACAACAGGCAAGACAGATGCCACTGTGGGGAGCAGTGCACCACCCCGTTCTGAGGGGGCAGGAAGGAAATCTACAGCTACTACCAATAACACAAGGGCAGCAATAAGGAAATAACTTAGCCAATAACTGAGGTGTTCAGAATTAGACAAATAGTGCAGCACCTTGATTTCCAAATGCTTTGGAATGTATAAGAGCCCTGGTTCTCATTAGTGTGTGTGGGACTGGCACTTGCATCCGAATCCAAAAG